AGTGAGAGAGGGACGGAAGGAAAGGAGAGCTCCTCTCCACCTTCCTCCCCCTATCCTGGCTTCCTCCTCCTCCTCCTCCTCCTCCTCCTCCTCCTCCTCCTCCTCCTGCTCCTATTAATCCTCCTCCTCCTCCTCCTCCTCCTCCTCCTCCTCCTCCTCCTCCTCCTCCTCTTCCTCCTCCTCCTCCTCCTCCTCCTCCTGGAGTGGGAGAAGAAAGGAAGGGAGGGAAAGAGGGAGGGAGGAGAAGGGAGGAACTCCGAGAGAAAGAAGATCGGTCGGAGCAGGCGCGGCGGCGGCCCGAAGGCCTCGACGGGCGCAGGCTCCCGTCCCCGGGGGCCGAGGGCAAAGGGCTGGAGAGCGCGGGCACGAGCCTGGCCGGGCAGCCGCCCGAGACGGCATGGCGTGACACTCCTGCGCCCGCTGAGACCAAGAGTGCCCCAAGAGTATACGCCACCACCACCACCTCCATTCCTCCTCCCTCCTCTACTCTCCTCTTCTCCTCCTTCTTCTCTGGGAGAGGGAAGGGGGTAAGGGAGGTTGTGGTGGCGTATATTCCTGGGCCCCGCAGCTTGGAGTCCCGCTGTAGGCAGCCCAGCAGAGCCACCACCCAAGGGTGCCAGCCGAGGGTGTCAAGTGCCCCGCCACAGCATCGGAGGACGAGGCATGTGCATGTCCGCCGCCCCTGGCCAGGCCAGAGGCGCAGGATATTCACACATCTCGTCGCCCGGTGCTGAACGAAAATGTCTGGACAGGCGCGGGGCTGGGCAACACAAGCCATCACGGGGTCCTTGGTGGCCACGCGCAATGATAGCCAGTCGCTCCCACATCGCAGCATGCTGAGCCTTGTAAGAGAAGGCGACGCTGCACTACCATGAAGCTGCCAGCCGGACTGCCAAAACATGCGCTTCGAAACCCTGCAGCCCGTCCGAGAATCACAGAATGCAACCGCACGGGGATGAGACCCTGGGCACCAAAGGGCGCTGACTTGTGTTTCGAAATGCTGCAGCCCATCCTAAAATCAGGATTTACTACTACATACGGCCACGAGAAACGGGACGCGCAAGGACACCAACTTGCACTCTTGAGGTGCTGCGGCCTCGTGAAGAAACGCGGTGCGCAGCCGCGCCAGGCCATGCGAAACGGAACGCGCAAGGGCAGCGACTTGCGTCTTGGAGTGTTGATGCCCAGCCAAGAATCACTGCATCCAGGAGAGAGTAGGGAGGAGGAGAGAGGAGAAGGAGGACGTGGAGGAGAACGAAGAGCAGGAGGCTTCCAGAGACCTCCAGCAGTCTCCGGAGGTCCTCGAAGATCTTGGAGGTCCCCGAAGGCCCACGAAGGCCCCAGGAGACCCCTGGAGGCCCTCCAGAAACGCCCTAAAACATCAATCCTTGGACCTCGAACGTCGAGGAGGGACGAGAGAGGAGAGAGGAAGGAGGTAGGAGGGGGACCAGAGGAAGCCCAGGAGGCACGAGCGAGGCCGCAGGACACCCTCCCGCTCCCTGCCCTCTCCTCGTGAATGCCCGACAGGCATTCGGACCCAGTCCGTCCGGCGGGAGCCCCGTTCTGAAAAACAGCGGCTGGCAACCCCGCCAGCTGCAGACAGGGCCACGGCGCAGGGTCGCCGAGCTCCGGCAGGCGCCCCGCGAGCAAGCCCGCTCTCGTGGGAGAGAGGAGCCGCCTCCGCCCGTGCAGCCCTTTGCGCAACGCTTTGTGTACGTGCCCCCGGCCGCCAAGGAGGAGGCGCCAAGGAGCGCTTAGGCGTATGGCTTAGCGTAGCGTAGCGTAGCGTAGCGCCAAGGAGGAGGAGATGTCTCCAACGGGAGCCCCGCTTTGAAGTGCGCCGCCCCCTGCGGTGGAGCATTTTTTGTGGTTCCTCTCTGCAAGGGAAGAGAGGGAGGGGAGAGGCTGCGTCACGCGGAGGAATGCCGGGAAGGAGGGGAAGGGAGGAGAGGGAGGGGGGAGGGGCTGCGTCACGCGGAGGGTCAGCAGAAACAAGACATGCCGATATGGCTGTCCGCTCTGGAGAGCCTTCGTCTCCACTGCTGGATTCGCCTCGAAATCCTGGTCAAGGGGCACCCCAGCAGAGGCCCGTGGTGAATTCTATGCACTGCTGCGCTAGCCACGCTCGAGGGCCGCTGCGGCGGCGGTCCTCGCCAGGCGCGCCGACGCCCCGCGGGCTCGCGCCTCCTCGGCCGAGGCGAAGCCGCAGGCCGCTGCCACCGACGCCACGGGCGGCAGGATGAGGACGCCATCAGGAATCCAGGGTCTGGAAGCCAGCGGAGCTCCTATCGTGCATCGGCCATGGACATCGCCGCCGCCCCCCATTGGATAGGGAATCCACCAGGGTCTGAAGCCTCCTGAGCCCATTCCTTAACGAATGCCCCCACCGTATCCTTGTGGATGTTGCACAATTCTACAAGCATGGCCGAACATTGAAGAAGTCACAGAAATCGTGGACAACCCTCCACTCATGCGCGCAACTGCTGGGAAGTGTTTGGGCGGCTGTGCGCGGCGCTGGTGCGGAAACCATATGCTGAAAACCAACCCCCGTCCGTCCCTGGACACTTGTAGGACGAACGTGCACACCGCTAGGGCGAGAGACACATTTGAAAAACAATGCGCCTTCCATACATGTTGCTTTTGACACCTTGAAAATTGATGTGCGTTGTGCTCAGGCAAAGACCACATTTTGAAAAGGGCACACCCTTCGCTCGTAGATTGACCCGTAGGAAAATTCAGGCATCAGCGACATCCATGTGGAGAAATGCGAGGCGAAATGTCTGGCCCGTCCAACTGACACAACTGGCGGCGCGGCCAGGAGAGCTTTTCATAAGGACGAGGGGTGGAAGAGGAGGAGGAGGTGGTGGAAGAGGAAGGAGGGGACACGACAACACTACAGAAAACGTCGCCTGAGGTCCCCAAACAGGGCCGAATCTCTGGGGAGGGAGGGGGAGGAGGGGGGGAACGGAGAAGTAAGAGAAGAAGGTGGAGCGGGAAAGGAGGAAGCAGGAGGAAAGGGGGGAGAAGAGATGGAAGGAGGAGGAGGAGGAGGAGGAGGATGATGATGAGCGCTCGGCGGGGACCTGGTCTAGCCAGGGCGCATGCTTCACACCACACACATCTCACGCAGCCCGTCACAGGCCGCTTCACGACAGCACCACCCACACGTGGAAGCCGAAGGCGAGGAAGACAATGATGAAGTAGACCCGCGCGAATGCTGCCCGCCGTGCGTAATACAACTGCCACTCCAGCAATACTCCCAAGGTATGTGGCGAGCTCACGCTTCTTGCAACCACCAGCAAGAGAGGGAATTGATACTACACACAACGCGAAACACCAAGCTGAAATACTGTACCAAAGCCGCCAGCCATGACCACCACACCGCACAATGCCGCGCGTCAACGCGCGAGCATACATGATGAAGAACACCGCCAGCACCAGCACGACAACGAAGAAGAGCCAGGATGCGAATGACACGCAGAAAGCCTAGGCCGAAGGCCACATCCACATCGCGACAACGCACACATGACTCCACCAGCCGCCGATACGGCACAAGGGCACACCAGGCCCTGGGCGAGGGGAATGCTAGCCGCCACGGCTCGTCCCTCGCCCTGCATCAAAAAGCACTGAGCCAACTCCCACCAGAAAATCAACTGAACAAAACCAATCCAGTGGAAATGAGCCCAGCCCCGCAAATAATAACAAAAACGCCTCGAACAAAGTACCGGCATGATGAGCACACCGTGCAACTGCACGCCCAGCAGCCCGCCAGCTAAGTAGCACAGCCCCATGAACACGAGGAAGACCACCTGGAAGGCGAAGAGCTGCAGCATGCAATCGAAGTGGGAGGCATACGAATTCAACCCGGCGTTGCCAGGAGCACCTGGACCTCAAGCAGCAGGGGGCGGCGCACCACCCCACATTAAGCCCCGGGACGACGGCCGAGCGGCGCTGCGGGGGGCCACTCGAGCCGACGTGGCTTGAGAGGAGGAGGAGGAGGAGGAGGAGGAGGAGGAGGAGGAGGAGCAGTAGCAAGACCAGAGTCCGCCGACTCCGGCCTGGCGGGTGCGACAGCGTGTGTGATGACTGGCTGCCCCCCTCCCCCTTCCAAGACGAAGCCAAGACCAAGATAAAATCGGGCGATGATAAACCGAGGATCTATGAGATCCCGCGGTTCTGGAGGATGTCGTGGGCGCCAGGGCCTTCACAGAGCGTTCTGGGACGCTTTGGGAACGTTCCGGAACGCTCTGGAACGGATTTATCCTCGTCACGGACTTATCCTCGTCCGAACCCCGTCAGACCCTTCCCCTTTCCTCCTCCCACAAGGACCAAAATCTCGCTTAAGGAGGGGATCCGGGCTCCTCGGCGCACCCCAGCGCTTTCAAATCTACACTCCGTGGCCTCGAAGACGTTCCAAGACGGCCCCGAATCGCCAACCAATTGACCCAAGACGCCTACGATGGCTCCAGGACGCCCCAAGACGCCTTCACGACGCCCCAAGAGAGGCCCAAGAGCTTTCCCATGAGGGCCTCGAGGGGCAAGAATTAATGGTTCTCCCTAAGCGTTTCATTGTTTCTGGGGTTATCGTCTTCTCGAGCTTCCGACGCTCCAAAATGGCCCAAGAGGCCCCATAGACCGCCCCAGAACTGCCGAAGAGGCCTCTGCGAAGGCCCCAGGACAGCCCAAAAGGTTTCCAAGACGGCCCATAGAGAGGCCCAAGACGGCCAAATATCGCCCAAAAGGCCCCACGAAGCCCCCAAGCGGCCCAACATAGATAGGTCCACAATAAGCCCCAAGAGGCCCGAAAGAGGCCCGAAATAGGCCCCAAAACAGCCCCGATGACGTTTCAAAACTGTCCCCAAGAGGCTCCACCAGCCCCCCAAACAGCTCTCACGGCGCCCACACAAGTCCCCAAATAGTGCCCAGGAAGCCCCCAACGCATCAACCGTGGACTCCGCGCCTCTTCTGGGGGTCGGCTGAATGGCTTCAGCCTCTTCGAAGAGGGGACGGCAAGACGAAAATGACGACGAAGACGAAAAGAGGACGGCGAAGACGAAGACGACGAAGACGAGGAGCCAGGGAACGAGCGGGGAGAGAAAAGGACTGCACAGAGCAAGCTCGGGCGCAATGGCTCCTACTGCCAGCGCGAAACGGTGAACAGGCAGCCCTTGGAGAAGAGGAGGCCGACTCGATGCTGCACCCGTCGCCAGAGGAGGAGCAAAAGCATCCTGATCCCGAGGGCGCCCATGCTCATGAAAACGTCAAATCAAGTCGGAGAGCCTGCCGACCATCGCGGTGACCTCCTGCTCGGGGATGCGCCACCGCGCGAATAAGGCAAGGACGGGCTCGAACGTGAACTCCGGCAACTCCGAGCCCTTGATCCAGAAGAGCTCACAGGTGCCCCCCTTGGACGAGGGGTGGACCAGGTCCTGGTAGCCGTTGACCCGAGCCTGTGATCCGAAACCTGGCATTGGTAACGAGGCTCAGCATGTCCTCCCAGAGGCGGCTGCCAGCCCTGTGCTTGGCCCTCACGTCGATGGGCAAGTCCTGACGCCCGCGGAGAGGGCATGACGAGGAGGTACGCGGGCCCTGCCAGCTCTGAAATCTGTCACTCATGGACTCGGAAAAACTCCTCACCCCGGCAGCATTCGAGAAGGTGGGGCCGTAACTCTTGGATGCTCCCGTCAGCTGTGGTGTGGCTGAGGCAAATAGATACGCAGGGACCATCGGGCAAAGGAACTGCTCAAAGTGCGCCGTCTTCTGCACGCTCGTGATGCACCTCGGGAAAGTGCCGCGTTTGCAATCGTTGATGGCGGACAAATCACCACTGGCAGGAGGGTTCGCGCTGCCGACCGAACCAGCAGGACGATGACCAACGCCATCACGTTGAATGAGCTTCTTGAGCTCGCGAACCTCCTGGGTCAAGGCCTTAACCGAGCCCTCGAGTTGCTCAGTCTTGTTGGGGGCACCGAAGGCAGCCCAGGGGTCCTGGCGAGGTTGACCATTGGCGTCAGCACCACTTCCCATCACAGCATCCTGGTTGGGGACCTGGATCGACTCGAGCATGGCTTCGATCGCTGCCATAGGAGCGTCACCTTGTGTCTTGTAGCTGGCGAACTCAAACATGATGGAGTTGCTCGTTGCATCGATCTGCATTGCAACCTTCGTGCTCACTGAGCGAGGCAGAGAGCGCATCGGTGATGGCTGGCGCGTGACGTGCTAGGCGATGTGAGCGTAGTCCAGCTTGGTGTAGTCAACGAACGAGGTGGAGCCTTCACCCGACTCATTCTGACCTTCGCTTCCAGAACCTGATCTGCTGCGGTCATCCCTCTCAGAAGAAATCGAACGTGGACGTCGGGGCGAGGAATGACGACGGCATGGACGATCACGGCGACGGCTCACGACTGGCGTCGCAGAGGCCAGGAACGCCTCTTCGGTCGACTCCTAGGCAGCACGACGGTCTCGCCTCTTTCCCATCGCGGACGGAGTGGCCGTGAAGGAATTCCGACGCATCACTGCCAGCCCCAGGATCTGGAAACCCCTCAGTTTGCCCAGTCCTGGCAGTGCGCCACCACAAGAGGTAGCAGTGGCCAGAACGGACATGCATTGGCGCACGCAGTGGATGTCGAGGCCTGTTCTCGGAAAGGGACGCAGAGCCTCCCCTCGGCAGCGTCCAAGCTCGAAGCGCTGGGGAAGCGTTTCGAACTTGAGCCAAAATGGTTTGGGCCAGAATCGAGGAGGAGGAAGCAGGAGGCAGCAGGGAGGACGGAGGAGGGAGGGGGAGGCAGGTGGAGGCAGGAAGGAGGAGGGAGGAGCTCATTACGCGGAAGACGGATGGAGGAGGGGGGGGCCCGAGGCAGAAGGCAGGAGGGAGGAAGGAGGAAGGAGGAAGGAGGAATTCCGGAGGGAGGATGGAGGATGGCCTCGCCTCATGGCTCCGCGGGCGTCTCGCCGACGGTGACCGCCGCGGCCATCCTCTGGTCGCCCATCACGAGCTTGCCGGCGGCCGCGGCCTGCGGCTCCGCGGCCGACCGCTGCGTCGGCTCCGCCAGAGGGGGGGCGGGAGCTTCACCCGACGACTCCGTGCAGGGCAGTTTTTAACACATAGGATTTTAAAAAAATATTGGATTTAAATACATGACTAATTTATGAGTAAATTTATGCATGAACTCATCTATGTGTTTAATGCTAAATCCCTACATTTTTAATACATGATCCGCACGCGGAGCATGCATTAAAAACGGCACTGTAGCCATTGTGGCTCAAGGTGAGATGCTGAAGGTCCATCCACCGCCCCACCGCTGCCCGCTCGAGCGCACACGCCGCCTGGGGCCCCAGTGCAGCGCGCTCGAGGCTACCTCGCCCCGCCTGCTTGCAGGCGGCCCCCGACGACACGGGTGTGCGAGCCTGGCGGCTTGTCCAACGAAGGAAGCTCGCACCCCCTCTCCCAGGAACCTGCCCCGACCACCTCGGAATGAAGGAGGCCCCAGCGACGAACCCCGACGGACTCGCCTGAACCAAAGAGGCTCCACGAGCGGAGCCTCGACAAGGCCCACAGATCATCAACAACCTTCCTGTCGTCTTCACCCTCCTCACTCTCCTCCTAACTTTAAGTCGGGCCTGTCCCCCTACAGGCCGATCTTCCAGGAGAAATTGAAAACATTCGCAAAATAATCAAAAATAACCAAAAAATACTCCAAAAATCGTACCCCGACTATTTTGTTTACTATTGCTGAACATTCCTCCTGTAGAGGGACAGGCCCGACTTCATCCTAATTCTCACCGTCGCTTTCAATTCATCCTCTTCCTCCTTCTCCCTCCTTCTCAGGGGGTCGACGGAAGGGCGTCAGCAGAAAAGCTTCGCCGGGGGGGCCTCCGGAGACCCCTCTGGAGGCCCTGGGGAGCGAGGAAGCAAAGGAGGAGCTGCAGCCGACCAACGGGACAACGCTGCCGTGGGCACCCGTCACAAGAAGAGAGCGTTCCCTCTCGCTGCGAGGTGGGGATTTATCCAGATCCACCGCCCGGGAACCGACGTCCTGGTGCCTCAGCGGGCGGTGGATATGGATACATTTCGGCCCCCGGGCGCCCGAATATGTCCATATCCACCGCCTGTCGAGGCTCCGACACTGACCCTCCAGGCGGTGGTCATGTATAACTTCCCGCCTCGGATCTCACTGGTGCCGACACAGCATAGTGCTCACGCGGTGCGCGGGAAGAGTGCCGGGCCGAGGGGCGCGGCATGCGAGCAAGAGGGTGCGCGTCCTGGATCTCCAGGGTTGGTTACCGCGAGCGTAAAAGCACCGTTGTGCAGGCGATCCCTGCGCAAGCTCGTTCTGCAAGTCCAACAGTCATGGTCGCTCCATGGGTAGAACTGCCCTCGTGGCTTTGAGGCAGCTGTGCCCTGCTTGTTTGGACCGCGGCAGCCACGTGTTCCCTGCGACGTCCC